AACAATAGCGAGGGTGTTTTAATTCGGAAATGATTTGACAGGTGATACGTAGCAGAGTCTCTATGCTATAGACTTTGTTGTAAAATTAATCACGTTCTCATCCTGGCGCAGACGACCAATTTTTTCTGTATGAATATCCACAATATCCATCAGGATGGATCTATCCTTTGCCAGGCCCTTACATGTTTGATGATCGAGGAAATCCAAGCCCATCCCGACCACAAGTGCTGACTCGTTGCCAGAATCCCTCCAGTTCAGAGAAGATAGCTCAAAGCCGGCATCAACCCCATCTTCTTCGCGCTGTGCATCTTCGTCAGTAGAGAACAAGAAGGCTCAGGACAGATGCAGTAAAGAAGAGCAGAAGCTTTTAGTTCAACTGTGGGCTGAAAAGCATGATCAATTAGAAAGCCGAGAATCACAAGGCACNTCAAGAGAAGCCGCGAGCGAGCAACACGGTTTTGTTCACTAGTGGAAATAATGATATAGCCAACCAGAGCGTCAATACGTCGTTTTGCACTGGTGAAAAAATGGTATGACCAATCACGTGGCTTCTCTAGCGTGAACAGACTATTTTATCTCAATGCTTTTTGGCTCGTAAATCTCGGTATGGGCCAAGTCGCACTAGAGGACAAAACTGTTTATTTATGTCAAAAATCTGTCATCACCATAAAAAACCAAGTGCGACCGGTTTGTTCACCAAAGGATAAAACTTGGTCGCAGACGGACAAACTTCAAAGATGCCGTTGACTACCTCTGGAGCAGGCCAAATTGAGGCAAATTTTGGAAAACAATAGCGAGGGTGTTTTAATTCGGAAATGATTTGACAGGTGATACGTAGCAGAGTCTCTATGCTATAGACTTTGTTGTAAAATTAATCACGTTCTCATCCTGGCGCAGACGACCAATTTTTTCTGTATGAATATCCACAATATCCATCAGGATGGATCTATCCTTTGCCAGGCCCTTACATGTTTGATGATCGAGGAAATCCAAGCCCATCCCGACCACAAGTGCTGACTCGTTGCCAGAATCCCTCCAGTTCAGAGAAGATAGCTCAAAGCCGGCATCAACCCCATCTTCTTCGCGCTGTGCATCTTCGTCAGTAGAGAACAAGAAGGCTCAGGACAGATGCAGTAAAGAAGAGCAGAAGCTTTTAGTTCAACTGTGGGCTGAAAAGCATGATCAATTAGAAAGCCGAGAATCACAAGGCACTAACAGCATGGTGTTGTGTTTTGTTCACAGATTTTGTTCTTAAGTGCGAGTGTAGCTTTATGGACAATTTTTGTCACTGGCCGGTTTCAAGTCGGATTTGTCCAGAACAAATCTGAAATTGCCCTCTAGTGCGACTTGGCCCTATGTATATAATAAAAACTTTTAAACGACAAATCTTTATTTTACAACATAAACATAAATCAGAGAATTGCAAGGTTGACGACAGTTATTTTCAGACAATGTTGTTTATACGGTAGTCGTACTTCTCCTCCTAGGTTAATGGCTCATTATGAGTATGAAGGTGCTTTCCCCCCGTGTCAAGACATTGTCAGCAATACTGATCGATATAAAGAATGCCTCGGCCTCTGGTATTTATAGCTTGGGCTCTATTATCCAAGATGTGTGGGGTACCAAGGTATAGAAAGTAAGAAGAGGACCCCGCAATAATCAAGAAAACATCTACTTAAATTTACAGAGAAGGCAAATAGCCAACATTTCAACGGAAACTGGAAGTGCCACACGCAGTTCTCTGTTGGACGAAGTGTCTGACTTAAAAGTACCCAAAGATTGGAAAATGGTGGAAAACAACCCAAATACCAGCTCAATTGTGCGGCTTGAGAACTGGAAGATATACAATGTCAGAGTGTCAACAGAGGTTGTTGTGACCAGGTCAGCCGCTTCAACTGACGCGTTAGTTGAAGTGAAAGCCCATGGTTGTAAAAGGGACCTGGCTTCCATTCTCTGCTGATGGAAGAACGCATTGGCCTTGCCATAGATTGTGTTGAGAAGTCGTCCTTCTGTACAGGAATTTCTCTACAAATTGAAGATTCCCTTCAAGTCTTTATGCCTCACATAAAGACAAGTACAAAACATTGGAACTTGAAACCGAAAACGAAGTCAACAAAGCTTTCTCCCTGAAATACCTAGTATTCTCCCTTCCCGGCTCGAATTGTTCAGAGTGTAGGCAGCTATTAAAGTTGCACAACACAAAAATGCAATGCAGGGAAAAACGAGTCGGCATTCACCTAAAATGCAATGAACGGTATTTGAGAAAGGAGGGGGTTCTTCAGGTGCACCAGGAGCAGAAGAGAAGGTTCAATGCAGAAAAGAGGGAACGGTATTGGAGGGAGAAGTTTGAAAACGAGTCCGTTGAAGTTCAAAATTATGTCAACAGTGATCTAACCTGTATTTTCCAAGGTGTTGTGAAAGAAAAAGTACCAGAAGAAACGGCTCCCCTTTGGGAACAACAGAAGAAAATTATGCATACCAAGAGCAAGCGTGGTTACAG